TTTATGAATTCTACATTCGAACTTCTTATTAGTTATTTTTCAACTGGCATTTCACTTCAAGCCATGGCGAGGAGACAATTTTTTCAGCTTCGAACCCTGACGAATTCGTGGAGGAACCAAAATAGCCCAAGAGGTACGCAGCCCAGGGAAAAGAAATAAAGCCTCCATTTGGGACCGAGTAGAAGAAGAATAATGACCTTAAAGCGAGAATACCTTTCAGCCATGAACATGTGGAGAAATTGGCCTTTAAAGACTCATTTAATGAAGTTCTGCTGACTTTAACATCATTTCTTAAGATGGCCTCATTGAAGACCGAGTCAGGATTGTCTTGGAAGCGGTGACTACTGTAATGTGCCAAGAATCCGTGATCAGCCTTCATCTGTCCCGTCGTAACAGACAGTATTGTAGACAAAAATGAACTATTTACCAAAACACTAAACCCATAAAGATGACCACACAATTTTAATGAGACAGCCCACGCTTGGGCTGGCTACTTCAGGCCTACTCGACATGCTTGCAGATGGGGAAGTTGATGCCTGAAAAGTAAGTGGATGTGATGACAAGCATACTTTGATCCTATTCTGTGTGTTTAATATTGACGAGTCAACTGAAATGCTAAAGCCAAAACCAGACTACTTCGTTCGAGGCAGAACAGCCCTCAGATCGTATCTGTTCAGAATTGCTGCTGAGGAGATTTGAGGCAAAGGAAGATTACGAAACTCACGCAAGATGTGATAACTGGGTCTTGCTGGCCCTACTAAAACGTTAACGCAAAATGAGTGTTATCGTAAAAAGTAGAAAATATGAGAATCGACTTATTGGAGGTATGAAGACCAAGATTGTGTGCCCTTTAGTATGGTCACGGTCTCCTTTCGTTGTACAGTTGTTGTTTGATCCTATTTTCGTAACTTGGTCCGGAGCCAATAGTATGCATGATAATATCCCGTGTTGGAGCATGGACTTGGTACATTCCCAGACAAAGAAGACAATTTATGGTGCAGAGAAAATGCCAACTACGATGCTGGAAAACGTCTTGGAAGGTACCAAGTCCACGGTCCGCTTCTGGAAACTCGCATGCCTGCCGATATGATCAAGTTGCGAGAACAAGGTGAAACAACTTATAAACAACGCATCGTTGCAAAGCTAAGCCGCTACTTTGTGGAGAAACACAAAGTTGGAAAAGCTGTATCCATAAGAAGTAGGTATAGGTTGAATTATTGAGCTGGCTTCCACTTCGAGTAAAATTGTTTGGTGAAGAGCTACGAAGGTGGATCGCACCAAAAGACGACAGAGGATTACTCTTGACCAGCTGTCGATTGGCGCTGTTTCCGAAGTAATCTCCTTCAATTCCGGTAAAAATGTGTCAAGTTTTCGTCCGTCGTATGACGAATTTCATCAGACCAGGGTATCATCCTTAACCATATTCAAGCTAACGAGTCAAAAATCTCTTCACCAAACACTTTCACTCAAAATGGAAATCCAACTCTTCTTCGCATAGATGGAATTATACCAAGTGGAATTGAGATCCTATGCTTCGCCTGAAATATCATTGCAGTTGTGACTAACATTCCGTATGAAGTGGAGGATGACTATGGATCTCTATGACTTGTGACTTCTCGAAATCTCCATGACGTCTGTTTAATGCGTCATAGCATAGCTCACACAACTTGACAGAAATTGTCAGAGCAGAATCACATTCTCGCAAAGAGGTCTGACAAACATTAAGTCAAAACCCGCTAGAAAGCAAGTGCCATGCGAACAAATGTCAGTCGTAACTAAGGCATTTCGGAAGTGGGCTATATTATTTGGAAAACGGCTTTCTAAAATTGGTGAACTATGAGTCAAGGTACAGTTGCATCTTGACTCTCGATCATCACGCCGGCATTTTATGGATAGCAACAATTGGAAGAATGCTTGCCAGATTTCTGCTGAACAGATTCAGGCCACGCCACAAATAACCCTTTCCTAAAACTCAACATAGCTCACTATAAGCTGACCGAAAGACGATAGATCGAGCACACTTTTCCAATCAAGCAAGAATTTTTGATAGTCTCGACATTTACCAACTTTAAAAATACTATTTAAAAAGCCATGATGCCGCCATGACAACGCCTGAAGCAAAATTATTATATTCCGCAGCCTGCCAGAGTAACTTAGAGCCCACTAACAGAGTCCACCCACTCAGTTTTCCAGAAACTTGTCATCTCGTATCCTCATTTCGTGGAGCCCGAAGGCCTACTTCCATTTTGAGCGAGCCTGGGTGAAAAATAGATTTGAAGGTCAATCCCATCAGGATACAGCCACATATTCCTCTTAGCCCGTTGTAGTTTGGCCCCTTAGTTACCCTCCAGTGGATGCTGCCTTCGAGGCCATTCTCAGAGCTTTCAGGAAAAAACAAGATCAGCTTTCGTCTGACACGCCACCTTGCAGGCATAATCAGAAATGGGTTTCATTACAATTAATTTGTGGTGGCTTAGCCCCATACGATATATTCTATATAATAATAAAGTATATACATATATAAAAATATTTGTAAGTAGAAGTATATAATTAAATCACTTTATATTTCACGCAAATTCTCTCTCTTTCTCACACACACACATACACACACACACATATATATATTTATACTTATATTTATATTTATGTATGCACTTGAGTATTTGCGTACATGTCTACGTGAAATTGAACAAGCGACAATGATATCACCAAGTAATTAGAAGAAGGATTAACATCTAGCCCCAGTTATCAAAGCTCAATCAAGCTCTTTTAATTATTCCTTTGATCGCGTAGTGTAGGACACACATTGTGTTACGGTGATTAACCTTATTTATGTAACCTCGGACTATAATTAAAATATACTAAATGAACGTTCTGCTTTTTATTGACGGCTCAACCTCCTCTCTAGCCCTACGTCTATCATTATCACTTGTCCTTACCTGGCATCCGAAATGAGCTATTTCCATACAATTTATTTCATAATCTGCTCAATTTGATGGCCACCCTCGTCATAGGCGTAACAACAGGCATAGCGCGATCAGCAAGACGACTACTTTGAGACCATTCTATCTTCCTATCAGTTTATGCCATGTGCTCTGCTACCTCTAATCTTTGAGCCCATCAGCCTCTACAGGCACTTTTGTTTAATGGGCCGACAAACCTATCCACATGAACGCATTATTTTACAGAAGCCCGGTCTGGATAAAGGGTCGAATTTCTCTCTAAAAGTGGGCCTCTCCTTAGCGGTGACTGCTCTTTTATGAAGGCATTCGCATGTTCCGACTGTACATTATAGCTCCTTTTGTGTTGTCGTAAACAAGGATGTTCGATACGAAGAGAAACTTGGTTTTAATGAATCTCCTGAGATAACATTGTCAAAGATTTTCTCTTGGGTTATTAGGTCTTAAGGATCAGAACCTGAGATTTAACCTTTGACAAGTCGGATTTAGGAACCGTATTGCATATAGACGCTAACACACACAAATATACATTCTCATACAATCCAGCAAAAATAACAGAACGAACATGAAATAAAATTAACCAAACCACTCTATATGGATATATATAGGTTTTTACTTTTTAATTTTTTGGCTCGATTGAGTCTATATAAGTAGTAAGATAGAGCCGGAAAGTGTTCTTGCCTTAGTGCTAACGTGATACTTTTATAAGTATGACACCCAGCTCTGATGATGTCCATCAAATGATAGACGAAAACTCATCACGTTTTCACCCAGAACG